AGAATATACTATTTGCTATTTGAGGGAGGTGACACGAAATGTACAAACTTTTTTTAAAAAACTAATTACAAAAAAAGACATTTTCAGCACATCACGTGTCACCTAATGCATTACTTTCAGGGGCTACAACACCAAGGGCAGTGGTCAGTACCCCCGACCGTAGCACACTGCGCGTCGGCAGAGGAGATGGTGCGCGTGTGTGAGGTTCCCCCCACGCCTGCCCCTCGGTACCACGTAGAGGAGAGGACGGGAAGGCTCTGCCTGTCACTGAGGATCTTCACTACCTAGTCTCCTCCCCTAATGGCAAGTGTCAACACGAAAGGAAGGCTTAGGGTCCAGAACACAGCAGGCTAGGAAAGGCACTAGCGGGAGAGAAACTGGCCTGGCCTTGGAGACTGGGCTAGAAGGTTGTTGTAGGTAAAATGATGGGTCTGAATGGTGAGCAGGGGAGCTAGTGGAGGTTTCCAGACTCTAGAGCAGGGGTGGCAAACTCATCTTCACCAGGGGCCACATCAGCCACGAGGCTGCCTTCAAAGGGCGGAATGTAATTCAGGACTGTATAAATGTAACTACTCCTTAACAGGTAAGTGAGACCTTGGCACTACTGCCTGGTAGAAACAAGTTGCCAAGACGGATAAAACAAGGTGGAGGGCCTGATTTGGCCCTTGGACCTTGTGTTTGCCACCTGTGCTCTAGAGCAATAGCCTATCAACATCCTACTTCTGAATTTGAGTTTTTCCACCTGTTAAAAAATTCACCTGCCTTAAGGGATTACTTAGCAGAGGAAAAACGGGGATCCTTGTGTCAAGCACTCGGTACAAACCGGCCCTCCATAAATGAGGGCTGCCTTCCCTGGGAAAGATAACGATGGCCCTGGGGAATGTGGTTTGGCACCAGAGGCTAGAGACGAGCAGGCTCCTCAGGAGGAGGGTGTGATCTCAGCAGAACCTATAGCCAACACTGGCGAGAAACTGAAGGGAAGAACATGAGTAACGGAGAAAATGATGAGGCCTGACAGGTATGTGGGAGGCAGCACCAACCCAACTTGCCCTGGCTGATGTGGCTCAGTTGGTTGGAGCCCCATCCTATAGACCAAAAGGTTGTGGGTTTGATTTCTGGTCAGGACACCTACCCAGGTCGTGGGTTCCAACCCTGGTTGGGCGCATACAAGAAGGCAACCAAGTGATGAAAAAAATCTCCTTGGGAGAGGATTTTAAAAAATGGAAGAGAAACCAACCCAACTTGATAACTGACCTGATATGGTGATGCTGAATGAGGCTAACACTATGTCCAAACTTCTAGACAACTGGTGGATCGATGGGACATCAATAGAAAAAGGGAAGGTTTTTCTCACATTAATTTTGAATTGCCTGTGATTTATGTGAAAATACTTAGAAGCTAATATTATTTTTTTTAAAGACTAGGAAAAATCAGAGTTCAGGAAACAATCTGGATTCAAAAGATTTGTAATGTTTCTCTGACGGATGGGCACAGCTAGACCACTACATCTGTAGCTCATCACTCCTGAGGTGGTCCTCAGAGATTCCTTACGGGGGTGTCCAACCCGTGGCCTGAGGGCCGTGTGCACCCCAGGATGGCTATGAATGCAGCCCAACACAAAACCGTAAATTTACTTAAAACCTTACGAGATTTTTTTTTGTGATTATGCACTGCAATGTATTTAATATGAGGCCCAAGACAATGCTTCTTCTTCCAGTGTGGCCCAGAGATGCCAAAAGGTCAGACACCCCTGCAAAGATTTAAAGCCGAATGGACACATACTCTGAAAAAGCAAGGTAATTCATGCATATTACTGGACCCATTTTAAAGATTGTCTTTAAATGTCCAATTATTGAATTGCTCTTGAATGAACTGGTGCATCTTTCTGCTAAAACTTTAAAAAGAGCACAATGGATAAGAAAGAAAGCAGGGAGAGGAAAAGGGAATGAAGCATTCAGATTTTATTTGGGACTAGATATCGGAGAGCAAATAAAAGTCCAATAGGTCATGCTTATTAATAATGTACTAAAAGGACAGTTTGCATAGGAGAGGCCTATGAAATTCCACTGCAAAGGGGTTGGAAAAGACACAGATTTAAGGAGTTGTTTGCAAATCCCTTACCTTGGAATGAGGACTATAGCAGCCACTGCCCACATCCACCCCCATTAATTAGCATCATTTTCACTGCCCACCTCCCTGTTACTCGGCAAGCATGCACTGAGAACCCGCATGGTCTCAGAGACAGGCTGTGTGAGAGGGCCTAGGGGCTAAAAAGGAATAAGGCGAGGGCCTCATCAGCCTGGAAGGCTAATTTAACGGATGCCCCTAATGACACAGATGGGATCTGCTTGTGCAGGTCAGGGCCCCTGCCCTTAGCAGCCTTCCAGAGAAAAAACAAGAAAAAGGAGCCCACACAGTGGCCTGAAGGTGTCCCCTCCCTTTGCTGGGGGAGCAGCAGTTATGCATGCGCAAAAGAGCTGCAGGCCAAGGCAACAGCTGGCAGCTGGGAGGCTCAGGGAGGCTTGGGGCTGGGGGGCAGTTCGAGAGTATCAACCAAGGGATTCCCCTTGGAGGTGCTTTTTAATGAGCCCTGGAGGACAACAGAAGGGACTGGGAGTAAAGGTCTCCCTTCACACCTCTGGAAGAAAAACCAAAGAAATGTAATGGTGATTTGAAGGCAACAAAATAATACCAGGCATTTCAGTGAGGAGAATGGCTCCACAAACTCCCGGCTGGACAAAGTACTAAACAAGGATGGAGAAGTAGCCCTGATTGACAGGCATAATTTCTAAGTGCATTTCAAGCACTGAAGTTTATTCGTTTTAACAAAAAATATTTTATATGCTCAATAAAATGTTCCAATATGAAATAAAAATCATTTGAGCAATAATACAAAAGAATGTAAATAGGTACTGTTATAAGACTGGGTCAAAATATAAAAGCAGACTGATGCAGTCTGGTAGTTTTATAAACCCCAAAGAGGGGCAGGGGATTATAAATTTTTTTTATAACGTCTAAAATATAAAGTCTTTTATAAAATATAAAGTCTATTTTTTAAAAGACTAGCCTAGTGAAATTCTCTACATACACATGGTTTTAGTTCTCTTACAGTCAAAGTTTCCTTCCACACACTGGACATCCTGCAACAATCACAGATAAAATGGAAAAGTAAAGTTACACAAGAGAATGAAATGAAACCTACTGGAGGGAAAAAGTGAGAATCCCACCACTGCTCAAGCAGGCTAATAATAAAGAGTCCACAGGATATACGTGCATGCCGGATACATATTTTTCTCAGTAACATAATGAACTGCAAGCATTAAATTCCTAAGTACACACTCACTTGGTATTTCAACAAATTCATCTGATAGGTAGGGGAAAATATTTATGAACTTCTACTGTTCATCTGGAATTCTCATTTATGGAAAGGTATTTATAAGTACACACACACACACACCTGTACATACACACTATTTTAACATACATCGTGATAAAGTAGCACGATAATGAAACTTTGGTCAACACATATCATTGATTATACCTGTCACCGAAAAAATGAATCAGGTGATGATTCTGAAAGCTCGAGTTGCAATATTTGATGTAGAAATGTCAAATAAATGTAATTTCAATTTCACAAGTCAAACATACACCTTTGAAGTCATGTAACCTTTCTATGTTATTCCCATTTGCTACTTGCAGAAGGGATTTAAAACACCTCTCCCATATCACCCGACAATATTGAGGGGGAAATAGGTAAAAATAGTTAAACATTTACTATTAGATTAAACGTGCTGAGATGATGATAAAACTTCCATATACTCTATTTGAATTGCTCTTTCGTTGAACATGGCTGCCATCCCTCACACCATCACCTGGGAAGCACCTGCTCCTATTTCCCAGTGTTGCTGGGAAGATGAAATAAGATGATATGGCAGGAAGAGCTTTGGAAACTACCTAGTAAATAACATAAGTCAACAATAAAGGCCATATTTAGAATTAGAGAAAAAGATTAGGAAGGAAATAAAGTAATTGAGCAGGAAACAAATAGACATTTCCTGTTTACTTATGTCCTATGCGCTAGAATAGTAGAATTAAAGTGTGTGGATTTACCATTTTTAAAATTTATATTCACTGTTGTTATCCTGCTGTAATAAATGCAAACGAAATTCAAACAAGTGGAGGAAATGGGAGGATCCCAATGCAGGGAATGAGTACTTAGCTCTCTGTGAAACAAAAAGTTTCCTGGCCATACTGGCTACTTAGAAGTCCTCTATCTTTTTAGGGAGACAAAGGCTTTTCATCCAGGAAGAAAAAATGGTCTTTGGAGTCAGGAAGGCCTCCCATGTCACGTCGGGCAAGCTGGGCACATTTCAAATCTCTGATTTCTCGCCTATAAAAATGTGCAAAGTCGCTGAGGACTAAACACAAAATGTCCGTGAACTCACAGTAGGTTTTTTGCCCTCCCCCTCACAGAGCCTTCCAGATCACCCCCACCAATCAGGAGAAGAATGCACAGGTCACTCATCATTTTCCAGCATTTATTGCCTGGGATGTACATGTGGTGATTAATTATCTGTGATGTTGGATATGTTAGCTTCTGTTACTGAAACCTTCAACGACTCTCCGATTTTCCATGCATCTGTGGTTACTCCATTGTGGAAACCAGACAACACTGCTTCCAATGAAGATCTGTCCCAGTGTCATCTCTCTGCTCCATCAGTGAACCCTGGGCGTGGTTGTTGATTTACTCTATTGCCCAAGGGTAGAGGGGGGCTGGGGTGGGCAGGCAGGGTGGGGGACATGAGACAGGACATGACAGCTGCAGTGGGCTCCTGGGAGCTTCTCAGCTTGTGTCCTGCAGAAATTCTACCAGCACAGGCCCCAGGTTCCCACCTTCCATTTTACCGGTCACTCACTGGGCTTCAGTTGGTGGGACACAGCTGTTAACTGCAGAGGGAAATGATGTGAAGGGCATATTTGCAGGGTGCAGGCTCACATACCTGGATGAGATAGTGGGAACATAAATTGAGAAGCTCCAAGAGCTGCAGGTGACTGCCAGCTGCCAACACATCCTGGATCACACCTGGCTCCAGCAAAATCTGTTTTTAATAAAAAGAAAACTAGCCGTTACGTAAAAACCGATACTTGCTTAAGACAAAAATATTTTGCTATATTTAAATTGTTGCTTAACATGCTATCTCTGAATTATGGAAAAAGAACTGAGTTCCATAATGATAAGGAAATCAGTTATTTTTCACATTCTAATTAATTAATGAGCTGTGGCCCTCACTTGAACAACTGAGTTCTCATTTCCAATATTCATCTCCTGTGTGCAAGGCTGTGCACTTATTTTCATAGGAGAATATAAATATTTGCAAAGAACAATACAATAGTCTTGAAATTCACTTGTGTTGGATGTAATCTCATAATATCAAAAAAACAAAATTTAGTTATTCCGGTATACTTCAGAATTTTGACACAGTGTGGTTAGCAGGTATTTTAGGGAGAGAGGCTTATGTTTCTCCTTGTAGTATGAGACCAGAGTGGATATTATTTTATTTGACTCCAGCAATAATAAATTTCAACCACCAACTTTCATTTTTCTCTTTCTCAATCTCAGATTCTCGAATGCTTTCTATTTCGAATGCAAGAGGAAGAAAGAGCATCTTCATCACACAAATGCATCACAGAGAAGTAAAACCTCCCAAATATGCTGGTGATACCAATTCTTCATTTGTTTTGAAGTCCAACTTTGTGCCTCCTGGTACCAGCTCTTGAGCTGCTGAAGAGGGCTGCAGAAAAACCCACGTTGAGTAAATTCACTTCATATGAATGACTGATTGACACAAGGAGGCCTTAGTGCTGTTCCCGACAGTTTAACTCATTTCCCACTTCCCAAGCCCACTGGTTCCCAAAGTGGAGTCTCTGGACCAGCAGCATCAGCATCCTTGGCACCTTGGGAAAACTGCAAGTCCTCTGGTGCCTCCCCAGACTTAACTGCATCAGCAGCTTGCAGAGGGAGGCCCAGAAACTGGTGTTTTAAGGAGCCCCCTGGTAGTTCTGATACCCCAGGTGGCATGCAGAACACTGGTGTGGTCAGTTCACTCCCATTCCACTATTCTCACATGTACCTTTCTCTTCCACCCTCTTCTCCTCATTCCAACCTCGTGATCTTCCAAAGGCTCTCACCACCACGTCTACCAGCCCCCTACCCACATCTGCATCAGCATGTTTTGCCACTTGTGCAATAGACCCCAACCCCTCCTGTCTGCAGTTGTCCTCTCTGTTCCTTCCACTAGGTGGTAATTCCCCACCAGCACACAAAGCCTTTATCTTAAGAGAATGCATCACAGCCTTTATCTTAAGAAATAAAATACCCTCCCTTGATTCCACAGCTCCTTTCATGCTCTCCTTCATTAAAAAATTCCCCAGGAACATTTTCCATATAAATGCCACTATTTGCTCTACTATGTTCTCTCTTGGACCCATCTCTGTTGAGTTTTGTTCACATTGTTCCTCTAAAAATGCTCTTGGCCAAGGTCACTGGTGACCTCCAAGTCCGATGGCCAAACCCAACAGCCATTTCTCAATAATTAATCGTCCTCGAGCCAGCAGCAGTTAGCGAAGTTGACCGCTCTCACCTTGCGGAACAATGTCTGCCCTCGCTTCTGGCAGAGCGCTCCCCCTGTTTCCTCATACTTCACTAGCTGCCCCTCTCCAACCCCTTCCCATCCTGAAGCTTTGGAGATGCCCAGAGCTCAGCTCCCAGACCTCTTCTTCCCTCTCTCCATCCACTCTGTGGATGATCATGAAATCCCATGGCTCTAAAACTGTCTACATGCCAGGCCCTGGCCGGATAGCCCAAGTTGATTAGAGTGTCATCCTGATATGCCAAGGTTGTGGGTCTATGTGCAGTCAGGGCACACACAAGATTCAATCAGTGAATGCAGAGATAACTGGAACAACAAAGTGATGTTTCTCTCTCTCTCCCTTCCTCTTACTCTCACTCCCCCTCTCAGAAAAAAATCAATAAAAAATAAAAAAGCTATCTATACTTCCATTGTACTCAAGTTGGCATCTCCAGCCCTAACCTCATCACCCTTGAACTCCGGACTATTACATCCAACTGCCTGTGCCGCATCGCCACTTGAATGCCTACCAAGCAGCTCAAACTGAACACGCCCATTCTGAACTCTGAACCTCTCCACCAGCCTTCAAACCTGCTCCTGCCCCAACCCTACCATCCCAGCGAGCAGCAACTCTCAGTCGTGTAGGCCAAACCCCGCTCACTCCCGACTGCTCTTGTTGACTTCCTGTCTCACATCGGATCCATCATCCGCTCCTGTGCTCTCTGTCTTCAGAACTCTTCCAGATTCCAATCACCGCTCAGTACCATTTCCATCAATATCACTCCACTCCAGTCCTCTGTCTTCCTGGATGGAACACAAAAGCCTCCTAACTACTGAACTTTCTCCTTTGCGCCCTCACACAGAACTTAAAATCAATCAAACTGGTCCTTTAAACACATCAATAAAATTATGCCACTCCTTTATTCAAAACTCTCCAATGACTTTTTATCTCATTTTTTAAAAATTCACATTCCTCACTATAACACAAAAGGTTCTTTGGATACACTGAGCAGAGGCCCCTAGTGTTTACAACTAGCTGTTTTCTCTTCCTGGGTCACTCTTCCGCAAGATGTCAGTGTGGCTCACTCCCTCAGGTCCTTCACACCCTCAGGTCCTTCACTCCCTCAGGTCCTTCACACCCTCAGGTCCTTCACTCCCTCAGGTCCTTCACTCCCTCAGGTCCTTCACTCCCTCAGGTCCTTCACACCCTCAGGTCCTTCACTCCCTCAGGTCCTTCACTCCCTCAGGTCCTTCACACCCTCAGGTCCTTCACTCCCTCAGGTCCTTCACACCCTCAGGTCCTTCACTCCCTCAGGTCCTTCACTCCCTCAGGTCCTTCACTCCCTCAGGTCCTTCACACCCTCAGGTCCTTCACACCCTCAGGTCCTTCACACCCTCAGGTCCTTCACTCCCTCAGGTCCTTCACACCCTCAGGTCCTTCACTCCCTCAGGTCCTTCACTCCCTCAGGTCCTTCACACCCTCAGGTCCTTCACTCCCTCAGGTCCTTCACACCCTCAGGTCCTTCACTCCCTCAGGTCCTTCACTCCCTCAGGTCCTTCACACCCTCAGGTCCTTCACACCCTCAGGTCCTTCACTCCCTCAGGTCCTTCACACCCTCAGGTCCTTCACTCCCTCAGGTCCTTCACACCTCTTTTCAAATACCACCCTACCTGAAAGGCCCTCTGGGACCTTCCTGTGTAAAACAGTAAGTAGCCCACTCCCCAGCACTCCACATTCCCTGTAGCCTTAGTTTGCTTTATCCTTCTTCATAGCCCTATGACTACCCCTTGACATAATACACATTTTTATTAGTCTATTTGACTATTTTCTGCTTCTCCACTCAAAAAATATAAAATCCAGAAAAGCAGGGACTTGATCTATTTGTGTATTCACAGCCCTTAAAATAATGTCCAACATATAGCTTTCCCTTAATATTGGTGAATTTATTTCATAATAAATTATACATAAATCAATTTATCTCTAAGGGTATTTTTAAGTTCAGAATTAATTTGAATTAATCTCTCCTATTAATTAATTGATCTAACTGGAGAGGAAGGAGAACTGTAAGTTACATTTCTGAACGACCTGAAGAACTGCAGAAGTTGAGCATATGTGGTACAAAGACCAACACGTATCTCATTAACCTGAGAAGTCTTTATAGCTGCTTTTCTACCCGGTCGGGGGAGAAAGCTGAGTTTCCCCAGCTCCTCCAGGGGAGAGGCTTTGACTGACACTCAGGAAGCGACTGCCGCCCCCATCACAGCAGCAAGAATGTAGCGTTTCTGCAGAAAGGCATGGCCTGAGGCACAGGACGGGGAATGGATGGATTAGAAAGGTTGCTCTCAGCCTTTAAATCCCGTCGGCCGCGCTCATTTCTCAGGACAGGTGTCGGCATGACCTCCAAGGCTCGGGAACGCCCAGCACGAAGGCAGGGATCACGGAGAGAGGAGACGAAGGCTCCGCAGGTGGGCGCCCGTCCGGCAGGCTCACCTCGGACCCCCGCACGTGAAAGGCCCACGCCAGCGTGGTTTCTGTCTGCGCCTCTTGTTTTACGGTTCTGTGGTTTGTTTTTCTCTCATTACAACATAAGTTTTTCTAAAAGATGCTTTAGCCAAGAAAATCCCTAAGTGCTTTGAAAGGGCGCACTTTGAAAAACAAAACAAAACCCTACCAGGAAATCGGAGTCTGGCTTATGGACACAGGCAGCGTTTGCGAGCCCCACTTGCGCTCAGGCGCACGGGGGCGTCGGATCTGCAGCCCGCCAGCCACAGGCAGCCCGGGACGGCTGTGAATATGGCCCAACACAAAATCGTGTATTTACTTAAAGCATTATGAGATTTCTCTGTGATTATGCATTGTAATGTATTTAACGTGTGGCCCAAGACAACTCGTCTTCTCCCAGTGTGGCCCAGAGATGCCAGAAGGTTGGACGCCCCTGCGAGTCTGTTTAATTTCGCTTTGTTGATCTTTGGTGACTGGTTGTTCTCATGTATTTTCCCAGAGAATTTGTGTTTGTGTAGGAATACAAAGTTTCCCTGTCCGCACAATGCATGGTATGGCGAATCTGCCTGTCACCTGCCCAGAACAAAGGCCTGAAGAGGAGTCCCCTATGGAAGGAGGGGTTGGCAAACGTGCCCAGTTACCGGGGAGAACTGAAGAAGCTAAGTCTACACCCTGCGAAGCCTACGTTGGCCACGCTGAGGCCTTGCAGTAACAAATACCCATCAGCATCTAGTCTGGCACTCAACTCAGGGCAGATGGGAGCAAAGGTCACCCGAGGAACACCTACAGGAAGAGAGGGTGTCCCCAGAGAGTTCAGAGCACAGAGTGGTGAAGTGGGAGCTAATGGTTAGTGTCGTGACACATCCACTCACTCACCAAACTGGAGGAGCTTAGGTTAGAGGGAGGCACCAACCGTGGACAAAGCATGTGTGAATAACAACAGACATCAAGAAAGACAAGGTGGAAA